TAGTGGCGTAACCAGGATTTTCTGGGATGCTGGCTCTCAACTTTAGAGTATGGATCCCAGTTGAAACTTATGGGGGATGATATTGGTCCCAAATGATGAGTTTCTACCAACTAATTTTTTCGATCGGAGTTTGCCAAAAAAATTAGCATTTTCCTGAGCCCCCAAGAAATTTTTAAAATTGTCACTAGTATCGAACTTTTGAGGATGCCACCGAGAGCTACACCGAATTTCATCGACAGATTTCAAATTTCACCCGAAAATATCAATCCGTTCGGGGGTTATAACGTTTTGGATTTTTAGGACATTACTCAGAAATTGCGACAGAGATTCAAAACGTTATAACTCCCGAACGGATTGATATTTTCGGGTGAAATTTGAAATCTATCGATGAAATTCGGTGTAGCTTTCGTTGGCGTCCTCAAAAGTTCGATACTACTGACAATTTTAAAAATTTCTTGGGGGGCTCAGGAAAATGCTAATTTTTTTGGCAAACTTCGATCGAAAAAATTAGTTGATAGAAACTCATCATTTGGGACCAATATCATCTCTCATAAGTTTCAACTGGGATCCATATTCTAAAGTTGAAAGCCAGGATCCCAAAAAATCCTGGTTACGCACTACATGAAACTGAACTAAATTTAATGTCTTTATGATAAAAATAAGAAAGTAATACACAACTTTAAATTTTCTGCTTACTCCCATAATCGATTGAAAAAATGAAGAAATATTTTCTTCAAAAACTTTCTCATCATCTGTTATCCAAGATTAAATAATATTTCTTTTCCTTTTTTTTTTCTAGCATTATACAATGATGTTACTCGAGGTAAAATTTATTCTTTGTATTAAATATTCAAAATATATTTTCGTTTGTTTTTTTTTCTTCTTTTTGAATAAATAATAGATACGATTCTTGCTCGATTCGATAAATATATTGGTCCTATTTTAATAAATGTTTTTTCTAAAATTACACATTTGGATGAAATAAAACAAATGAATGCAAATATAACAATACCTAGACGTAGTTCAATTCGTGATCGATTTACATGTGTTCGATTATTTAATACTAATAAATCATTGAATCAATTAGTTTTACAACATAAATATCCTAATCTTTATAAGTAAATATTTAATTTAGAGAAAATTATTTAATAGATTTCTATATGTGTTTAGTTTGTTAAAAGATGAGTTTAAACGTGCATCTGGAATTTTTCAACAAGATGGTTTAGCTGTTGCTGCTAATTATTCTGTATTAAACTTTCAATTACCGGTTAAAGAATGGAAAAAAGTATAAATTGAATTTATCAATATTTTTCTTTATGAAATTTTAATTCATAGATTGGTGAATATGTAAATAGTACACTTACAATAGCTGACATTCAATGGCCAGGTGAACGATCAAAACCACCACCAGGCAAACCTATTATTTATTATTTAAAAGTAGTAACACTTGAAGAACTTCCATTTGTTATTCTTAAAGATCCATCTATTGATGGAAAATGTCAGCCAGGTTCAGTTATTTGTCGTATTGGACCAGAAAATTCGTAAGACAAAATTCTTGTTATTTCTTTCATTGATTATTTATTTTTAATATAAAATCAGAGGTGCTAATCATAGTGATTCACACCATTATCAATGTTGTTCAGGATTTTATATTGATATTTTTAATATACTTAAAGATCGGCTTAAATTTGAATTTGAACTTTATCAAGTTCCTGATCGAACATGGGGTGGACGAAATCCTATAACTGTAATAATATATTTTCTTTTAATGATGGAAGAAAAAATAGTCGAATATTGTTTCTGTCTTTTTTAGAATAAATGGAATGGTCTTATAGCTGAACTTCTTGAAAATCGAGCTGATTTAACATTAACATCACTGAAAGTAACTACGGAACGAAATGTAGCTATTGATTTTAGTGTTCCACTTATGGAAACGGGTATTGCTCTAATTGTATCATTAAAACCAGGTGCTATTTCAACTACAGCGTTTCTTAGTAAGTGAAAGTTTTATTTATTTATTTTTTTTTTTTTTGATAAGCAAAACTTCAATGTTTTTTTCTGTTCCTAGAACCATATGATTATCGAATATGGGTTCTTATTTTATTAGTAACACTTCATGGTGTTGCAATAACGGTTTTTCTATTTGAATATTTTCAAAAACGATTTACTACACATATTATTCATGATGTAGGAAAATTTTATTATCAATAATTATCAGTTTTTGATTTTTTTATAATAGACCATGAAGAATGGACAAGTCGTTTATAATAAACCATGGCAACATGTTCTTGATCTTTTTCGACCTGAAACAAAAAAAGGTTTTAATATTATATTTAACATTTTTTATTAATGCTTTAAATATGATTTGATATATAGATTTGAATATAACATTTTTTCAATCTGTTTGGCTCAGTTGGGTTATCTTATTTCGAGCACCAGCAAAAATAAATAATCCAAAAGGTTTTACATCGAAATTTATGGCTAATATTTGGGCATGTTTTTGTTTGGCATTTACGGCTAGTTATACAGCTAATTTAGGTTTGTATTGTGTCTTGTTTGATTGTTTTGTTTTTATAACAACTCTTTTTACATGTTATAGCGGCTTTTATGATAACGAAAGATGATTATTTTCGTCTATCGGGTATAACTGATAATCGCGTATGTTTTTTATTCCAAAAAAAATTAACCTAATTTTGATAGAAATTCTTTTAAATTCTAGATTACTAATCCTCATTCATTGAAACCACCATTTCGTTTTGGAACCGTTGCAAATGGAGTAATTGTGTTTGATTTTTTCTTTTATAATTCGATTCTTCTAAGTGCTTTTTTTTTGTATTAGACGGATAGAAAAAATTATTACAAAAATATTACATTTTAATCCAAAGAATATATTAAGAAAAATTAGAGAGAATAAGGCGATACATATATTATTTCATATAATATTACAAACAGAACAGAATTCTGTGTAATATTAATTCACAGAACATTTGTTGTCTTTCAAACTGTACATGATTTTATTTAGCATACATTCACTGAAACAAAAAATAACGTGAGAAGAAGAAGAAGAAACACAGATTTATGATATATTTACCAAGACCTTTAAAAAAAGTACAAATAAAATTTTTTTTCTATCAGTTTTTTCATGAAAAATCAAAATAACTAGTGAAATCCATTTATCATCATTTTTTATATTAATCATCAGGAATTTTCAACGTTATTCATTGATATCGAAAAATATCGGTGTTTATCAAAGCAAAAATAAAGTCGAAATGGTTCTTCATTATATACTTTATTTATAGCACAGTTCACTGTTTTCTTTCAACAATCCAAATAATAATTGTAAATGTATTGCGTCAATGTTACATGCGTTAGTTTATTGATAAATGTATGACATGAATAAATCAATTACAGTTCGAAAGACAAAGAGAATACTGATTGTAATGTATAATTTATACTATAATTGGCATTTATTTCACTATTACGAACAGATTGATTGTAGTAGAATATCTGCGTATGGTGGCAATAAATGTTGACTTGAAAATTGTTCGAACTTCTATGACAATGGAACGTTACCAAATGTCAAATCGCTTCTTGCTTGAAATTATTGCTATTCTTTTGATCTTAGAGAGTAGTGAGAAATATGTTTGGACTTGATTTTCGAATGTTCGTTTGTTGAGCTATACACGTTTTGCTCGATTTTTGCCCTATGAGCATAATAATCGTTGACAACCTGAAGGATTGAATTTTGAGCTGAAACTTTGTCCATAGATAGGTCATATTGTCACTAGAGATACTTAGAAGTGTGAGCTAGGGCAAACGAATTCTTATCGAGATATTAGTCTCTCATGAAATTGTTGTCCTTTTGAAACACATTCCAACATGAATGTTTCTTGAAAATGTAAATAGCTTGGCAATGATACATTTGTTCTGACTCAGCCTTTGAAGATTTTTCATTGATTATAAGGTTTTTCTATAGACAAAATGTCAGCTCGACATTCAAGCATCCATATTATCAGTGATCTTATTCTTACAAGACAAAATTTGAGTAAAACACACATAATTCAACCAGCGACAATAGGAAAATCAAACCTAAACATACTTTTTTCACCGGTCATCAATATCGTAAGAACAGCAATAGTTTTAAAGGAAAAGTGATATGACAGTTGATAGCGCTTGCTTGTGATATTTGATTTCATAGAAACCCACTGTTGTCAAGTTTTCGCATTCTTACAATATTCTATCACTGGTGTAACTCACCGAACCCAGTGGCATTTCAGCCCCTATACAAGTTTCTAAGTCCACCTACGAACGGTTGAGTACTGACTGAAAAAGGCTGGAGCCCATCCATATAGACATATGGTCAGGGAGATTTAGCCTCCTCTTCAAAATTTTTTTGGTTTCGCCTCAACATGAGCGATATCATCTTGTCGATATTTAGTTACGCCATTACATTCTACGCTGCTATATTATATATATATATATCATTCGGGTTGAAAGGATAAAAGTGAATATTTGTTTTTAGACGAATTCTTTTATTGTTGTTTTTTTTTAAGAGCACCGATGAAGTCATGAAAACAAATCATAAACAAATTTATGCGTATATGAGACAATTTATGAAGAAAAATATTTCTGAAGGAATCAGAGCATTAAAATCTCAGTAAAAAAACCAAATAAAAAATTTTCTTTTTATTTTAATCTTCTTTTTTTTTGTGTTACCACTGTAGAGAATTACATACATTTTTATATGATGCAGTTGTACTCGATTATTTAAGTGGACAAGATAGTGAATGTAAATTACGTGTTGTTGGAAATTGGTATGCAATGACTGGTTATGGTATTGGATTTCCGAAACAATCGAAATTCAAAGATATGATTAATAAAGAAATTATTGAAATGCATCATTCTGGTGAAATTGAACGTCTTCGACGATTTTGGTTTACTGGTATAAAATCATTTTTTTTCTAAATTATAAGAAGGAAAATACGTTTTGTTTTAATGCTAGGTGCTTGTAAATCCAGTGGACATCAACAGTCAAAGACAAGTAGTCAACGATTAGATGTAAGAATTTTTTTATTTCTGTATTGTTAATATGTATATGTTTTTAATTTCAGCAAAGGAATTTTACGTCGGCTTTTTTACTTCTCTGCGGTGGTACTCTTATAGCCATTATTATTCTTATTTGTCAAAATGCATATTCACATTTTGTTACTCGACCAAAACAGATGAAAAATGAAAATAAAAATCGTCAAGTAAGACATGTATATTGTTTTTTTCCTTTCTAATACTTTATAAAAACGTTAAGGATTATAAACGTATGATTACCAATATTAGACATAATCACGACAATACTCAACGTGAAAAAATATTAGAAAAACGTATTGAAGTATTACAAAAACGCATTCGTCAATTGGAAACAGAAATATCATTGAAATCATCATCGGCACTATCAGATGATATAAAGAAAACAAAGAAAACTAGACCATCATTCTTAGTGTTACCAGTAACATACACTCCTGAACCAGAAAAATCGCCTAAACTCGAAATTGTTTCTTTTTCACCAATGGACGAAACTAATACACCGTTGTTACTTGTCGAACAATTAAATGCACGAATATATGAATCCATTGTTTAAATCGAACTTGTATTATTGTTAAAAAAAAACTATTTTGAAAATATTGACAAAATGAACAATTATACTGATAATTGATGAATTATAGATTAATATGGAATTATTGAATCATCGTTTGTTTTTTTTATTATATGTCTACGGTACAGTTGATAGAAAAATAATAAAGAACAGTACAAAAAACCCAAAAGTAAATAACACATAGAATATTGAATGCCATTGCGTCATATTTTACTGAGAATTTACCTTAATGAATTGATAAAATACTGTCATCATTCACTGAGATTTAATGCTTGATAAAATAGAACTAACCTTGTTAGATAAGATAACCATTCTTCATGGAAAAAGCTATCTATGTCATTTTGTAGCGCAACTAGTAACCCATCGAATGGTATATAGAAAATTACTTTTTCATCGAGTTTTAATATTCTAAGAAGTTGTGTACCAGTTAAAGGGTATTATAGCAATTGTGGGTGATATGACCAAATAATAAAACTTAGTATGTCTTCAAACCAATATATATCAAATTTTGTTTAAAGTTACTTCAAAAGAATTTTGTCTGGTTTTCTATATGCAGAGTTTTTAATTTTCATAAGAAATCGAACATACATTGAATTTAATAGAACTTCATACTTTAATCACACCTAGCTAACCAGAATCTAAATTCGTAAGGAACAAAATAAACTAAAAACTAGCCTTTGCAACAGTCCACTTCCGTACCTTATTCAGAGGTTTGAAAGTGAAAAACGTTTTTGCTATTTTCGAAAGACCCATATATATCAAATGATAAGGTATGATGAACTTACCCTTAATAGATAGAAAATTTTTCACTCGACAAGTATTTATTGCAAAGCTCATATGCTTTTATGTCCTTAGAAACCAGAAAATTGACCTTGAAGCGCATCAATTCTGAGAATTATCAATTGAAATACTTGTAGAGCTTGGTGACACACACTTTCTGAGAAATGTATACGATTGATTGCCTTTGTCCTCAAGAGCAGTGTTGGACAATTTAAAACATCATAGAGATTTAAAATTACAGAACTAAAGACTAGACAAAACTTTATTGAAGTAACTTTAAATAAAATTTGATACATATTGTTTCGAACACACACTAAGTTGTAATATTTGGTTATGTCACCTACAATTTCTATCGTATCCTTCAACTAGTATATGACTTCTCAAGATATAAAAACTTGACGAAAAAGCAACATTCAATATATTCAGTCGATGCAACACGAGCTGCTCTACAAAATGATGTAGGGAGCTTTTCCAATGAAGGATAGCCATTCTATCCGGTAAGGTCTTTTGAAACTATAACAATTTAGTTTTCATTATTACTGTTAGAGATCTGAAAATTGTTCATACACGACCGTGACCAGTAATATTTGAGAAAATAAATTTAAAAAACATATCTCGTAGTAGTGAATTTAGAGGAATGGTCATTCCTTCCTTCCGAAATATTTGTCGACTTTTCTCAGTAGCAAACGCCCAAAAAATGAGCCAATACGATCTTTAATGAACTTAAAAGCACTGTTTGTAACCATAGTTGATTCCTGTCCAAAAATCTAAAATCCGTCTCTGATATCTTGCTCATATTTCAATTGAGATAGATAAATCGAAACCTTTTATTATGTTCATATTTTATATTTAATTATAATTAAAATCAACAAAAAAAAAATAATGCTCTAAAGAGAACAAGATTATGTAGTATAAATCATAGCTTAACTACTATTCTGATGATCATTCGTTTTCACTTTCACTTTCATAATACCACTTAAAGATTCATAGTCATCTTCGTCATTAATTTTTATTTTCTTTCAAGTACAATCTTCATCAATGTCTTCATACTTATCATAAGGTCTTGCTTTTGATTGATTCGTAGAAATCTGCAACTTGATTACGAACTGCGGTCATAGTCACGAAGGCGTCTAATTATTATCTATGATTGTATTTTACTTGGTGGTCGGTAATAAAGAAATTATTTTTTTCCTCATCGAACGTTTGGTCTTTCGAAAAGAAATAGTATGAAAGAGAAGATTTTAATGAATATATTTTTGATATCTATTATTTTTAGTATAATATATTGAAGTTTATCAACGAAAATACTAGTATAGCTAACATAGACAAAAGACAAAGATAAACATATATCGATTTTAATTAATAAATGCATATACAAATATTCTTCAATGTTTAATGTAACAGTCCAATTCGACGTAATAAACGGCGACCAACACGTTTTAATGCCGCACGATATATTGAACCGGTCAGAATGTATAAATAAAATGATATTGAATAAGAGAAAAAAGAAAATAAAACAACCAGAGAATAAATTAGATTTTCTATAGCTACACGAAGAGCAGTTTTAGAAAAGTTTGCTGTTAAACTTGCGTACAGACGATGAATTGTAACTGGTAAGTTCATAAGAAGAACAACCAAAACCTATGGATTTATTCAATATATATGTATATTGATATAAAATCTATATATCGTAGATCTAATTGAAACATTTCAAAATGTCAACTATTCTAACTGCAGAATACTACTAGTCTAATCAAGTATTTAGTGTGACAACTTTTGTCAAAAAATAATTAAAAGAGATTTTTCAATAGAGAGATGAATTTTGAAACTAACCTGAATCAATAACATATGATTAATATTACGATCATTTAGTCGCAATCGTACGTTTTGGTTCGCTGTATTATTTCGAAATTCAACATGCATTACTGGTTGAACAACTCGTGTTCGAATATTTCGAATTGTTAATGAACCAAAAACAGCCATGAAACAACTTGGTATAACGGTAGTGAACAAAATAAGCATCCAATCATTGTATAATCGACATGGTAGACTTTGAGGATAACAAGCAACAGGAACATTAGGCACACTTGCTTCATAACAATAGAAAACTTCTAGGAATACTAAAACAGAACCAGTAATAATAATGATCAGAATTCGTCTCGCTGTTTGAACAGTGCTAAAATTTCGAAATTTGACTAAAGCACTACTGCGTAAATAGCGATCGCTGCTAGCACCGACAAGAGTCCATACAGCCACGGAAAAACATGTTGTTAAAATAAAAAGTCGAGTTTTACATACAGGTTGGTTTGTATTTGGCCAATTGAGGTTGTAGCTAAAAGTCGACAAAAAATTGCTAATGAATATCAAACTTGACTCTTAAATTTGATCATAAGCTTATCTAAACAAATCATCGAATGAAAATAGACAATATTTTTGACAATGTCATAGGTTCTCTTCACTTGAATACTTTAGCAAATAATTATCGTACATACCCTTGGAGTACGCGAGTTAATGTTCCTGACCAAATAAAAATTGCACTTGAAAGAGAAGACCACCAGAGATAAGTTGAACATGGGTTATCGCTTAACGAGTGTTCGCTCAATACCCAAATATTGAGAAGATTGCCTACAGTTCCGAACAAGAGCACGAATAATGCTACATGTCGATTGATTTGCATTGTTGCAAACGTAAAAGATGAGATTAATACAGCATCCGTAGACATTTTTTGTTGTTGATTCAATAAATGCCCGATAATGACATGCTTAAATTTAAAAACAAAATTATTCAGAAGGTTCGTTTTGACTCTTTTTAAATGAAAAATTATGTTGATTGCTTTTCCTTTTTTTTCAAAATTGTCTACCTGTAATGATGATCGAACAGCAAAATGTTCTCTGTTATCACTTGTTTATATTACTGCTATTTTGATAGACCAGAAAGAAAAGAAATATCACTGATAAATTTATTTCTTATATGTATTTTATTTTTCAGACGACTTATTAAAAGAAAAGATGACAGAATAATATTTTTTATGTGATATACAAACAATGGATTTTTAATAAAGTTGAAAGAAAAAGAAGATTATAAAAGCAATTTGACATTTAGATTGGTAGAATGTTGAATTCATTCCATTTTCAAGCAGATTTATTCAATAAAAGATTTAAAAATATAATAAAAATTTCATACAAATAATGGACGTCACGCAAATTTTTAGTCGTCGTTATTTTATTTGAAGTTGTGTGAATAGACACAGAAATAAAAAATTATAATAAATAATTAATTTATTATGACAAACAAATTTGAGTACATGTAACAAAAAAAAGTCTGAAAAACTGTCACAAAAATCTGGATCTGAGATTTTTATCTGAAGCAATGCGCTTTTGAAGCATTTAATAATCTGAATGTACTAAAAAAAGAGCAAATTAAAAAGACTTTTTATATTTATCTAATAATATACTCAAGTCTATAAGACAACTCCGTTTTTTGACAAAAAAATTATAAAAAAAAGGAAAGAAAACTAAAATCCAAGCTATTTTATTGTTTATGAAGCCATTGTCCTTCTCTCTATGTTCCTTATTATAGTTTATTTTAGGTTTAACAAATTAATTCAAAGTTCTTGAGTGAATTCGAAGTTATCTTTCTCATTCATCTTATTTTATGATTTTATTCTATCAACTGCTTAGTTTAGATAATTTCAAAAGATTTCAGATTTTGAACTTCTTATATGATTCTTCATAGTCAAAAACATTCATGAATTTTTTCGTCAACTGACGAGGGAACCGTTCGAAGTGATTCAAAGCTTTTAAGCCGATATTTTGCCGTTAAGTAGAGTCCAATGAGATTAGAAAAAGCCCAAAAGGACAAGGGCCCATGGGCCTTCCTTCTCGAGTTATGGTCATTTTACTGGGTTTATCACCTATGATACGATATTCACCGAAAAATCAAATTAAGGAGTTTCGACCTGAAATTTTGCCCACATGTAGGTCTTGTGGCTTGTATATTAGCCTGAAAGTTTAAGCCAAAACGAAAGCGCCATTCTCGAGATATTGCAATCTCAAGAAAACAGTGCCATGTTCCATACATACCAAAAGAATCGACTTTTCTTGAAAACTTAATATTTCGAGAACAGTGCATTCGTTTTGGCTTAAACTTTCAGGCTAATATACGGGCCACAAGACCTATATGTGGGCAAAATTTCAGGTCGAAACTCCTTAATTTGATTTTTCGGTAAATATCGTATCATAGGTGATAAACCCAGTAAAATGACCATAACTCGAGAAGAAAGGCCCATGGGCCCTTGTCCTTTTGGGCTTTTTCTAATCTCATTGGACTCTACTTATGGGCAAAATATCGGCTTAAAAGCTTTGAATCACTTCGAACGGTTCCCTCGTGAGTGAAATTTTTCTTGTGAGAAAAGTTTCTTTTGCTACTCTGATTTTGAAATTATTCAATCTACGTGGGAATAATATGCTACATCTATGAGATTTTATCAACTTCATATCTTCGTTGATGTAATGAGCGATTGTTCCAGTAAAACAGAAATAATCAAAACTTGACATATCATCCTTAACCTTAAGGATACCTTCTTTCCTTCGTGATATAAAATTCTTGTGCTTTTGTGTCTATTGTATTGTCTGAAGTAGCATTCATCTACTGAGTATATTTTGAGATCGAAATATTGCCTTTGAACATTAAAAAATCAAATTTACATAACAGAAATAGCGAAAACTATTTTTTCATGAAAAAAAAATGCAGAAACACTTCTGTTTCTACGGTCTAGTATATCCGATCGAGTTCAAACTTTTTTTACATAAACTATACACTATTTAGGATGAGAATTCTTTTTTTTTTGCTTTGAAAAATATTGTATGTTTGGTTTTTGGTAGCACTTACAAAAACGCATGCATTGTTCAGGATGCCTTCGATATTTTTTATTCGAAGAAAAAATGATAAAAAGATAACCGCTTCAAATATTATTCAGTGCTTGCGGAGAAAAAATTCCACTTGATCGAATATAGCAGCTTGGAGAAGCGGAGGCAGCAATCAGGACCATTTCAATCTAAATATCTCATAGAAGAGAGCTTTTCGGAAATTTTGAATCGATGACAACCTTTGCTCTACTCGTCAAGATCTACCTGTTCTGAAAGTTTCAAATTTTTCTGATGAGCCGTTCTCCAAAACTCCTGTGTGGAGGGAGGGGGAGAGGGGAGTGCTCCTAACTTAAATAAGATGTTAAAGTAAGGCCTGTGTTTTCTGAAAATATCATTATTTAGCATATGTTACTCGCCAGTATGTTTCATCTTTCAAAATACTTATTGACACGGAGAAAATCAAGTAATGATACTGATCAAATACATAGTTCAAACCGAGAGAATCAATTTTGAAGTCTTTCAAGTCATGTTTAGAGAAAAGAAATCGATAAACTACCAACACGTTGACTGCCGCAAATATATTAGACAATTGTGTGATAAGTAATTGATGCTTCTATAAGTTTTATATGATTCTTGAATGTAGAACATTAAATATTTCAAATGAATATCAGTATTAACTTGACGTCTTATTACTGTCTTCTTGACATAGAAATTGTTGATAGCCTCACAATAAAGAAAAGTAATGTACACTTCGAAGAATGTTTCATCCTTTCTATTTTGTTACTTTGAATACCAATATACTAATTCAGTACGATCGAAAATAACATAATTACTATGTCAGACTCTTCGAATTTAATAACCATAATCAAAATTCATAACAGATTAACGTGTTGCATAAATTTAAAAGGAGTTTTTAGAATATGATATAAGCTTATATAAAATATTATTTCGTGTTGTTTTGTTTCATTGATGATTCTTGCATATATTTCATCGATTTTCTGAACAGCAATCCATCTTATGACAGTTGAATCTGATCAAGATTAAGTTAACAATATTATCGTTAGTGGCGATCTGATACAAAAAAAAGTACCTTTTTGTTTAGCATCTGATTTTAAAGAAATTCTTAGAATTATTCTACATGACATTGGTGACTGTGAACAGATAATACTTTCTGTTGTTCAATATGCACTTTGGGTTTTAAATATTGTTCAAAGATGCACGTAAAATGAGTACGATTATGACGTCTGCTTTTTCATTATTTTTATTATCTTCTTCAATCTACTCTGATGAGAAAACGAAAGGAATAGTAGATAGCTTAATGTCAAAGATTGGCTTAAAATAAAGAGGAAAATAAACAACAATGCTAAGATTACAGGTATTCACATAGAAGAAAATGAAATAGATAAGTCTTTTTATCAAAATGTCAATCAATATAGACATGATTGACATTATCATTAATGTGATCCAGAAGATAGTTTTATGTAAAAGTCTGAAACCCTTAGAGAAAATGTTAAAAAAAACAGGCTCATTCTCACTGAATAATGTCCAATGTCAACGAAGCCATGTATTAGTTGATAAATCTTAAGAAGAAATTCGATGAATTACATATCATTGTAAACAACTTTCTTTTCTCTTACTTTCTCATAATTTGACATCAATAAATGGTACTAAAAAATGTCTTGTATAGCAAAACTAATGTCCACGCCCCAGAATTAAAGAGGAGTGCATGTAAGCTTAATAACTCGACAAAGGCAATAACTATCAATCTGTGGTTTTCAGCAATCGAAAGAGCACAGCTCCAAACGTGTTTTTGTCTGATACTACATATACGAGAAAAAGCTATTTTAGAATCAATCATATTCATAAAACATTACAAAACACGTGAAAATGGCGTTCCGTTTCACGGAAGTTTTGATAAAAGGTCAGAAAATTTGCTAAAATTCAACAGAATAGATACATAATTTTGTTTGCTCAACATTGACATATTAGACGATAACCACATGAATTGTGCCTTGAACTATAGTTCTGAAGTCTCTTCATCTGAAGCATATATCAATATCAAAATTTGGAATGTTTTGCGAAGATGACGGATTTTAAAATAACTTTGTCTAATATAGTATTAAATAAAAACCATCTGAAGTTATACTCGATCGATTGCTGAAAACCATAGATCGTAAGCTGCTGCCTCTGTAGAGTTATTGAGCTTACATCCGCCTCTGTTTGTTTCTGGCGTGAATACTAGCTTCAAAAATCGAGAATTACTTTTATATTCAATATACATTATCAGTATTCTCAATTATTTTGACCAAATTTTTATTTCTTACCTAACAGTCTTAAAGTTAATTGTAATTCTGCTCTTGTATATAATCATATTTTACATAATATGCTGACGAAAAGCCAATTAAAATCTACTCTATTCTATATGTTTCACTTTGTTTTTCTTTACTTGTCATTTGTGTTAATAAAATTCAAATGACTTAATTCTGTTTCTTCTAATTGTTATTTTTGAATCGGTCTAGTACTTGGTACTTGTATTATTTTGATCTGTACTTTTATTTATACAATGAGCTTATTCGTCAAGATTATTATTCTATGGATAAGTACAATGAAGAAACATAACGATAATTGAAAAAAGAAGTGCTTAAACTTCACTTATAAACTGTTTGTGTTACTTGTTCGATTTTTTTATATATTGATTTTTGATTTGTTTGGTTCTTCTTTTGCATGCATAATAACAAACATACACTTTTTTCTTTACATTTTTTTTTCTTTATTCTTTTCAATTCTAAAATTTTTTTTTAATTCTGTCCTTTGTTGCCAAAAGAAGTGAACTAAGTGACGGCTGTTGTTAACAAGCTGACAACCACAGAAACGAGCGCCCAAGACAACATGCTATGCATAGAAGCAACAATGAAACATTAAAAAAAAACGTAAAAAAGAAAGGTGATAGAAAAAGAAATTGTTTTTCTTGATCTCGACAACAATTTTATCGATACTAATGATGTTGTCAACATTTAACCGACAATAAAAACATTGTTTATTGCAACGACTAAACAAAAAAAGGAAGAGAATAAATAATAAGTAATGGATACAACTACTAATTTAAATTCGCCTACTGACGATGGAATATATGCATCTGATGATGATGGTGGTCTTTTTCTTGGAATTGATAGGTAATTGATATGTGTAATATTATGTGAGATTTATTTGTTTGTATGGACTCAAATTTTGATACTTCATCGATATTCGTTACGTTCTGTTCTACGTCAACTATGAAAAATAGAAGTGAAAAAATTGTTAAATGAGAAGTCGAGTAAATGTTCATGTAGTCTTTTGATGAATATCTATGAAAAATTCTATTATGATATATGAAAAAGCAAGCATAGATTATTGTTAAAAGTATTCATATTTGCCTTTAGTGATGATGAATTAAATATTGAAAAAAAGCTACGTGTCGAAGATTTACGTCTTCTTCGTCAACGTTTTAATCCTACAATAGCAGAGAGTGTTCATATTTCAACTAAAATAAATGATACAACACTTAGTAAGAATAATTATCACTTTATTTACTGTCTGCTATATCATTGATTTTTTTCAGTTTCATTAAATAAAGAAGAATTTATTGAAGCATTTGAGTCTATATTGGACCCAACTCATTATGGACAACTAGTAGAGAAATTATTTGATAAAGTAATTATTAAATAAAAGTTTCATTAAAAAAACGAAATTATATTTTTATTTTCATTAATCTTAATAGTTGAATTCAAAAGAAACAGGATTAATTAATTGGAATGATTTTTGTACTTATATGCTTCAATTTTATCAAGAAGAAGATTTTGAAAATACTCCTCATATATCACCATTTCATAGTGAACCGAGAATTCGTCATGTACTTCATAATAAAGTTTGTATTAAATTTAAAATAATTAATTAAATTTATAATTCTTTCTTTTATAGCAAGAATTAACAGCAAAAATTCTTCATCTGGAAAATCCAGTTAAATTTATTAATATAAGTAAAGAAGGTTATTTAGGATTATGGACAACAAATTTAAATCTAGAAAAAACATATTCAGCTGTTGATGAATTTGATGATGGAACAAATAATAATGCTAGTGGTATTGGACAAGGTCGTCGTCGAGCTGGAATGTGGGTAACTGATGCAATTTATATGACCGATGCACATAAATTGGCACTTGTATCAACTAGTCGAGATCTACGTTTTTTTACTATTTCAAGTGAAACATTTCTCGAAGAATTTGCTTTATTTGGTAAATTAGACAAAAATAAAAAGAAGATAAATGTCAGAAGTTTTATCTATCTATTTTAGGTGCAAAAAATGTACCAACTTGTCTAGATTATTATCCAAGTCATACAGTAAATAAAATAAAGTTTATTGTTTTTATTGTTGAACAAAGAAATTCATTTTTTCTAGAATGGAAATAGTGAATCAGCTTTGATGTTTGGTGATGATTGTGGTTTAATACATATATTATATTTTAAAAATCCAGTCAATGCTTTATTTGATCCACTAAGACGTAAAACTGATCCATCGAAAGCTGATAAAGCAACTAACAATACTGTTCAACGTATTTTTTGGGATGTGAGTTTGTAAACATTTCTTTTAAAGAAATTTTTTTATTTTTTATATAATAGGAACTGATAGATCATGAAAAATATGTAAGATATTTTTGTATGGGTGCTATCCATCGAGAATATGTTCGAAAAATACTTTATATACCACATAATAATTCAATTATTGCATCGAGTGGGGATCATCGTAATTCCTTAATTATTACAAATGTCAATAAGTTGAAGAAACCATATGTCTTTCGATTATATAAAGTAAATAAATATAAAAACCAAGACTGATTTTCATTCTTTTTTATCATGAATCAAAAAAAATGACTAAGACGAGGTGTCCTTGTTTCTGTTTATAGGGTTGCGAATGTTTCGATTATAGTAAAGAATTGAATATGCTAATAACTGGTGGTGCTGATTATCTTGCACGTATTTGGAATCCTTATGTAACACAAAAAAATATGGCCATTTTGGAAGGACATCATGCAGCAGTAGTTGATATTAAAATAAATTCACGTCTAGTACAATGTTATACATTTAGTAAAGATGCAGTATGAATATTCTAGGATAAGATATTTTTTGTTTTCTATTATTATAATTATATCATAGGTTATAAAAGCTTGGGATTTAAAAGAATATTCTTGTCTTCAAACAATTCCAGTACGATTTCCGAGTACATTAGGTGGTAAAACACCAAGTTTTGGTCCATTTCCAACTGATTTATTTTTAAATACGTCAACAAGCAATGCTGAAACAAGTTTACCCGGTGGTTTAGTTGTAGCATGTAATGATTATATGTGTTTTATGAAATTAGGAAAAGATGGTGTTAGAGAAGGAAGTTTTACTGAAACTCATGCTGCACCAATTAGTTGTGCTGTATATAATCCTAAACTTAGACAAGTAAATTTTTTTGTTTTTGCATTTTGGAAAATTATTTTATTATGTTGTTAAAGTTAATAACATGTGCAGATAATTCAAGTATGGGTGCATGGGATATTGAATCAGGTCGTAAAGCTTTTTTTATTCTTGATGCACATGATGGAGAAGAAATAACATGTGTTTCTATTGATCGACTATGTCGTAAAATTGGAACAGGAGCTCGAAATGGAGTTATTAAAGTATGATTTCATAGTTTAGTTTTTGTTTATTTTAAAAATTTTTCTTTACCAAGATTTGGAATAGTGTGAATGGTTCAAATCTGCATGTATTACCAAGCGTTGAAGATGCAGAAATTACTGGAATACTTTTTTCAGATAAAGGTGTTATTACAGTTGGATGGTCAAGAAAAATTGTTAAATATCCTGATATTATATCTGAAGTAAATATTTTGTTTTTTGTTTTTATTTGATTTATTTTTATAGACATGAATAATATTTTAGGATAGAGTTGATGATCAAAAAAACGGAGTTGAGGTATTTATAGAATGAAAGTAAAAAACAAAAAAGAAATTTAATAACATTCGAATATGGAATGATTTAACCAATAAATGAATTAATCTTTCTTTGAAAACTAACGAAAAAAATAATATTTTTTATTTAATAAACAAAACTAAACTAAATTGAATTTTGTTTTATTTTTATCTAGCTTGTTTTACCAAAAGCTGATTTATCATGGCGTGGCTCACAAATACATCGTGATGATATATTATGTATGGAAAATTTATTACCAATAAGTAATATAATGTGTACAGCATCATATGATGGTGAAATTAATGTGTGGAGTATTGATACAGAAAAATTAATTATATGTTTACGTAAAGCACCAAAAGCAAGCGTGTAAGGAAATTTTTATATTATTATGATTTGAATACTTATAACGAGATGGAAAAAAGTTTAACAATAACATAATTTTGATGTTTGTTTTTCTGAGAATGTTAACCAATTAGGTAAAATCTAGATAATGGTTTTAATAGTCAATGGAGTTTTTTATATTTTAAGCATTCTACATCAAGTTTTCTAAAGGAAAAAATCTGGACATGGTTAAAAAGTTAAAAGTATCACAACAACTGAAACAAGGCGCTTTTTTTTAATCAATTTCGTCTGTTTTCATTTTTTGTGATGCCTTCAACTTTTCAACAGAAAGGTCGTAGAAAATGCAGCGATTCTTCATTTTGTTCGAAACCTTGCTATTATGTTTCAATTATGAAATCTGAATATAGAATGCATTAGATAGAGAACTCCATTGACCACTAAAATCAATATCTCGATTTGAACTAATTACTTAGCATTATAGAAAAAGAAATCAAAACCATATTGTTGTTGAACTTTTTTCTGCAATCTTATATGGTTGAACTTTTTAGTCATCGTTCGACAACGAATCCTCATCGATCATCAGCCCGTCGTACGAAACGACATACTCCAGTACCAGTTGATAAACTTCTCTTTCTTCGATATCGGGCTAAAGAAAATATGAAATTTGGTAGGAGTTTCTTATGATAGAAGTCATCCAATTTATAAATCGCTTTTGATTCGAGATTATATGCATTATGTAGGCTCAAATGAACTAGAGGAATGTTGAAGTATAGGAGTAGAAACTTGGACTTCTCTGGATCACAGACATAAGGATACGATCAATGTTCACTGCTGGATTAGTATAATAGTTGTCTTTTACATTTCTTTCATACTCACTGCAATATATATTGTGATTAATATCTTTCACCATCGACGCACATTTTGCAGTAGACTAGAATTCATAAACCGAAATATATATATTGATTAATTCTCTCTTTTAGAATACCAGTAACTCAATCGTGTTTTCAATTTTAATCTCGCAGAAATTGTGCTAACAGTTTTTTTTTAATGAATGCCATGTTCTTCGTGAGAAACATCAAAAAAAACGTTTGTTTTTTATTTCGACATGTAACTTCTCATAGAGACAAGTCTTAACGAGAATTTTTTCAAGCTTTCTGCTTTCCATATACTCTGAAATAAGAATATCAAATCTTCCGCTTCTTATGATCGACATGAAGAACACGCTATTACAATAGTTGTTTCTTAGGATAGAAATAGCGATATAGATCTGAAACATTCACAAATAACTAGTCTCGTTAAGACCGATCTCTTCCTAAAATTTCAAATCGAAATTCGAAAATCAGTTTTCCTGATGTTTCTCAAGGGAATCACGATATTTCTTTAAAAACTTCCATGAAAGTACAGTAACTTCGTGATAATAAGCAAAGGATATTCATAGATCATTTAGGTTTACATAATGCACATAGTGTGAACTTAAAAAGGATTTGTCAATTGGAAGACTTCTCTCATTTGAGAAAAAACGAATTTCTCATGTATATTTAAAAAAATCATTTAAATATAAATAGGTGTCTTATTGTCAAGTGAAGCTGGAAAAATATATTGTTGGTCACTTTATGGTGAACGTAAAGATATGGGAATGTTTCATGGTTCATCACAAGCAGGTGAATCTATTTTAGCAATGTGTACTGATGCAACAAATAATTCTTTAATTTGTGGTGATACACATGGCAAAATTCATATATGGAATATAGAAAATTATTGTTGCTCAACAACATCACCTATTCAATTTGATTCAACACCACCACCACTTATATATTCATGGCAAGCACATTTATCACCAATTATTTTTTGTGAATGGACAGATCATAAAGGAGAGAGAGATTTTATTTTAACTGGTTCAACTGATCATACAACACGTTTATGGACAATGAATGGAGAACAAATTGGAATATTTGGACAAAGATATCAATGGGATATTGATTTATTTCTTACATCAAGAATACAAACTTATCGAGAAAAAAGTGCGAAAAAAACTGATCATAATGACAATGGTTTGTATTGTAATATAGACGTAACAAACATTATTTTCTTTTTTTTTCTATTTTCTATAGAAGTAAAATTAACAATAGGTGAAAAAACAGATCAAATATTAGTAGATGAAGTCACATTTGTTAATAATGACGAACAAGAAAATCTCGAATCATTATCTGTTCTTAATCTCAATGATGTATGTTTATAAATTAATATATTTAATAAATTGTGAATAGATTTATTTCTATAGCATAGTCAAATATTTAAATCAGCTTCAACTGCATTCGAAAATTCATCATTATTATGGGTGAGAATAAATTTATTTTCATTAGAAATTTAAATATGAATTCAAATTATTTCAGCGTGAACATACTGGACTTGGCATATCAATTGAACGAGGTTTAACTCAACAAAAAATAACACGACGAGAACGACGTCATCGTTTTAATAACATTGATGGGCGTCATCTAGTTAAAGGTGGTGTTTGTGTAACACCATATGCTTTACTTTTTACACAAGTAAAGATTTAAATTTTTTGGAAATTTTAACAATTATTTATATTAATCAATCTAGGATATTGATGATACGGTATCAAATCAAAATCATCATTATTCTTCAACAAAACAGCCAATTATTGAAGATTTACTATTAATCAATAAAGATGAATTGCCATCAACAATAAGTGCACCATCTAAAAGTCGTCTTATTCTTCCACCAATAATGCCACGTCAACAAACATCATCGTCATTTGGAACTAATGTAACACTAACACCATTTGATAATGAAACAAATAATCGATTTGCCTTACCATCAAGACAAACGACATTTATGAAATCGATCTCAGAAATTATATAAATATTATTTTGTTTTTTTTTAAGTCTTTTCTTCGTTTCAAAGTAAATCTTGATAACCCTTTTGTTTTCTATTTGTTCCTTTTTTTATTTAAGTAATACTTTTTTGCACGTTCCTTTTATATAATTGTCTAACAAAAATTAATATGACAATCAAAGATTAATCTAACATAAATCATAATGCAAGACTTATTTTATCGGCTCATGTTATTAAAAGAATAAAAAAATGAATTTGCTGGAATAGTTCTTATTGTTAAACAAATATATTGAATTAATTTGGATACATCGAATAAATATTTCTTTAGTTCGATCATGCCACGTATGTGCTGACAGGATACACTAGAAACATTGCGACTGAGCAACAGGAAAATATATATTGATATTTTAAGTTTCCCAAGAAAGACATGATTTTTTAATCCGGTATCTCGTTTTTTGCTGACGTTTTAGTAAATTTCTGACATGCTGCTTGAAAAAAATTCTATTTGGAAAAAAAGATGGCAAATTTTTTTTCACTCCTTCTGCTTTTCTGATCGTGTATCTCTAAGTTCTCGAAGAAACTTCATTGTAGCCAATTGCTTTTTGTGTTGTTTGAAAGACTATGTAAAACTGCAGTACATATTTTTTGAATTAATCTATTTTTTTTGTTATTATATAACAAGGTGTTTCTATAAATAGATAACCATTTTTTTGAGAACTTTTCGAGGTATTGAACTTGTCATGTCATTCTTTTTTTCCCACATAACAAAAAAGAACTAAAGAAAAAAGCACTACTGCCTGATATGCTCTTTCAAATAACAAAAATACGTTAAATCTATAGAATGAAGGCAGAAAGAGAATTTTCGGTTGCCGAATGAGCTATTTTCTGACCCTTGCTTGTTGAATATCTCCCAAAAACGTCATGATAAGTGACCCAAGATCATTTTTCCAGGGGAGAGGCGGGCTTCATTCTTGTGAGACAAGCGTTGAAACTTTCTAATCAGGTTTGTATTTTACTATCATCAAAACTACTTTCGATATCGATAATATCACTACCTAAATAATATAAAAATTAAACAAATTTTTCATCATTAAAGCTAATAATAAATGTACATTGTTCGAATGGACTAAAGAATTTAGGAGAAATATAAAGCTTTTCAAACTAATATTATAAGAAAAAATGATTAGAAATTCAAAATGAAGAAAAAAAGTCTATAATTCTAATTGCTATCTTCGTTATGTTTCTTATGTGTTTGTTTTGGAGTAACATTTTCCAATTTGAATACCCATGCCCAATCACTTGCAAGTGAATAGATTTTAATATTAGATACATCAATGATAATACCACCACTTTCACTAGCTGAACGCCAATTTAATGGACCAACATCTGAACCAAGAAGTGTTACATGTGTACTTGTTGAACNATTTTCGCCGAATTCCAACTTCACCGAAAGAATTTTTCGCTGACGGAGACATTGGAATGAGTGCACATGTGGGTGTAGGTGTAAGTGTGGGTGTAGGTATACGTGTGAGTGCGTGTGTAGGTGTGGGTGTGGTTCAGGGTCATTAAATGAGCGAAAAATTCTTTCGGAGAAGTTGAAATTCGGCGAAAATGGACTAATTCGTAATCAACGACTAGCACCTTTTAAGGTCATCTCTTTTGAATTATGTTTTAATTGATATGATTTATATGATGGTTCGCTTACAACCATTAAATATTTAACTATAATGTTTAGTTTCGATTGAAACTACTGTCACTAAGACAAGTGTTGCTGAAAAAGATGAGGATTTTTCTCTACAAAAAGTCTACAAGACTTTTATCCCGAGCTACTCAACTTAGTTTCATCCAACTGTATATAAAATCAAACAGACTGTTCAAAGCAAACAATATCCAAGTTTCGATGAAAAAAAATAGAAATTTCGAACAAGACTTGGATATTGTTTACTTTGATCAATCTGTTTCATTTTATGTAAAGTTAGACGAAATCAAGTTAAGTAATTTGGAATAAAACTTTATTAATAATGCGATTGTCAAACGTTTTTCTAGAAGTGTTGGTTTAACTTACTGATTTATATATTGTATAATAATATAATTTTATTTAAATAAAGGGTCTTCGTCAACATTATGTAAAATTACGTGAAAATGAAAAAAATCGAAAATTAATCGATTTACTTGATAAATTAGAATTTAATCAAGTAGTTATTTTTGTTAAATCAGTACAACGCTGTACGGCTTTATGCAAATTATTAACTGAACAAAATTTTCCGGCTGTTGAAATTCATCGTGGAATGCCTCAAGAAGAACGGTTTGTTTATTTTTTAATTGACATAAAAAGATAATCAAATATATATATATATATGTATATATATGTATCTTTAGGTTAGCACGTTATAAAGAATTTAAAGAATTTCAAACACGTATTCTCGTTGCAACAAATTTATTTGGACGTGGCATGGATATTGAACGTGTTAATATTGTATTTAATTATGATATGCCAGAAGATTCAGATACTTATCTTCATCGAGTATGTTCTAAGAATTTTTTTTTCTTTGTTTTTGGTTATTGAGTATTGAATTTCAGGTTGCTCGTGCCGGTCGTTTTGGTACAAAAGGTTTAGCTATAACATATGTTGCCGATGAAAGTGATGCAACAATTCTTAATGAAGTTCAAAGTCGTTTTGAAGTACAAATTACTGAAATGCCCGATGAAATTGATGTAGCTACATACAGTAAATATTTATCTTTTTTGTTATATTAAATATTCTAATGATTTTCTTTTCTTCTAGTCGAAAATCGTTAAATATCAAGTCTTATTGGTTCAAATGAAATATGTAAACTTTTGTTTTTGTTTGGATTGTTGTCATTATACTTTTTGGCTTTTTTTTTTCTTCTTCTTCTTCTTTTTCTTTTGAACAAACAAAACCTGTGTGTAAGTCTATTGAAGAATATGAATTTATTACTCTATTCTTTCAAACGGTATCTTTTTTGTCTTGCACTTTTTCTTTGATGGTATACAACCAAGAACAACAATAAAATATTCTTAAAATATACAAATGATTTGGAGATTACAACAAGTCTTAGGTCAATTTATATTAAAAAATGGAATAAACAAAAGTTGCTTGAATTTGAATATGCAGATGCTAGAACGGTGTGTTTCTTCATCTTTTTTTCGCTCTTTGTTTCTTCTTTTGTTATGTTCTTTGTTGAAAATAAAAATTCTGAAGATGCGCATACACACAAATGATATCAAATATGATTATTAATTCATCTTGTTGTCAAACGTATTCTTAAACATTGAAAGAATATATCGAGTAAATAATATTGTTATTTCAAACGAACAGATGAACTAAATAATTGTCTTTGCAGAGTAGAATCCGTTGGGTTCAAAATTTTCAGATATATTATAGAATATGAACAAACTGCGAAAGTTTCCTGAAACATCTCTGAACGACTTCAATACTTAGATAGTCTATTGTTTTCCTCTTAGTTAGATCTTATCATTATATACGTTTTTCATATGAAAATTCAAAATAATTGTTTATTTTGTTGTTTAGATACACACATTCATTTCATATATTTGTTTTTTTTAAACGGAAACTAAATATGCATTGTAAGATATTTATATAATGATAACTAATGCAAAGACAAGTTGATCTGTGATCAACAGGACTTATTTTGAACAAACAGAAGCTTGGAATACAAACTAAATGTTGTGTATGATTTGGAAGTTAATGTCCTCGATGACTAGAAAATATTTCGATTTGTAATCTCGATGTTTAATTATTTAAATATCATATTAGAATAGTTTCTTTATAATGAGTGATCGAATCTGTTCATTAAGCTGTAAGAAATTCGATCACTTTAATGAAACATCTGTAGAAATAGCAATGAGATCTCGCTTATTAGTTATTTTCAGATGCTCAATAAGCTCATCATCGTTTGGAAAATAAAATGCCAGAGTTAAGGCAAAGAGTAAACGTTTGAGAACAATTCAAATCCATATCTTTCAATTAATCCTTAGATTACTATAAAAATCTCTAAGTAAAAATAAAGACGTTAATATAAAGCAAACTAAAGTAACATGATATTAGTTCAACGATTCATCGAAAAAAGTCTGACTCTGAACGTATAGAAAGGCATACAGACAGAATGAATTGAAGCATATCGATTCGTGTAATAATTCGTTTACTATTTTAGCTAGATAAATATATGCTGATTTTCTTCTGTGCTCAACTAATCTTATATTATATAAATTGAGCAATTTCCTTTTGTACTATGAGAGAATTATAATATTACTCATACTTCTTTTTTACTCTCTTCTGCTTCTTTTCCTTATCTCTTGATAAGATAGATTGAAAAAACATGTTCCTTCTTTTTCTGTATGGATTCATAAGTAATGGAATCAATAGACTCATTTTATCATGTCTGCACTTCTTATTTTCTACTCATTCTAAGTTATTTTATAAGCAGTGAAAAAAGATATGCTTTATACGGGATTGTTATCCTCCCAATATGTTTTAATGTGTCTAATATAAAGAATAATTTTTTTTTCGAAAGTGAATAAATAGTCGATTTAAATATATCCACACAGAAAAAAGTCGTGCAACGAACAAAGAACATCAAAATACGGTTCTTATTCAAAAAAAAAAACGTTCAAATAAAATCATACATCTTCTATGTATTCTAGGACATAATAACTTAAAAAATCTCCATTAAGTGCGTTTTGACAGCATTAAAATATTATTTTTAATTTGGTACTTTTTTTTAAATAATGTATTTATGGATCTTTTTTTTATAAATTTGCAGCATAAATTCTTACGCAATAACAAAAATTCTAATGCTTCTTTCACTGTTAAAATACATTAAAATGACAGTACATCTCTCGCCTATCAATCATCTCGGAACAAGAAGAGAAGTTTGAAATCAATCAACCAATTGCAATCTGCATATTTTATGATTTAAGAGAGTATTCACTTAATTATCATCATTACCATTTCTATCTTATATAGTATACACACGACTAGGGACATGCTTAAATCTTTATTAATAGGTAATAACTGAATCTACATTTTTTAGTTGTCGACAATAAACATACATTCTTAATTTTCAAGCATATTGGAGCCTCTATATTAAGCTCGAAATTACGCGTTAAACAAAATATTTTTAGCTAAATTTTAATAAATACTTATTTGATGAGTAGTCCAATAGAGGATATTCGAAAGAATTGATTAACTTGAGTTATTTAAACAGCCATCGGGTTTTTTAGCTTTCATCGCAATATTCTTAGCCAGCATTCCTGCTTCTACACACACATCTAATCTTAACGCATCAAAACAAACTGTACTTATCGAGAGATACAGACTCAATTTTTATTTTAGTGTAATGATTCTCATTCGAATATTGTTTTATGCTATACGACGCATGTCTTAGTGAGTGTTTAGTACTTTCTTTATTCGTACAAAATACTGTGAACAAGTAAAATCCAAGACGTTTTTCCTCCATCCAAGAAATTATTCATGGTAACTCAGCTTCAAATCAAAAGAACACAAAGGTTGAATTTACTACGGATTATTCTTGATTGATTTTCTTTTGAAATTACATAAAGAAGGGCGTGTGATAAACATGGTTTTTATGATACCTATGATGGTTATAGTCTATTCATGCATTATTGATGGAATTATGTTAAACATATGAATTTCTATTTTGATTTTCCCTCGCACGGCTTGATCTGTCTCATACGTGGGATTCAATCTGAGTTTCTTGCATTTAGATGTGTAGGACTAATAGTCTCATGTTATCTTCTTAAAAGACTAACATGAATTGGCATCTTTATAAATAATACACAGTGACAATGAAATCTAAGTGTTTTAAAATTGATATGCACTCGACCTTAATCATAGATTAAAGTTCACTTCGTTATTTATTTTTGTTGTGTTGTCTTTAATAGAAGATAACAAGAGAAGTATATTGTTTTCATATTAGAAAATCAATTGAAAGTGTTCATTTGGACAACAGTAAAGAAATCTTGAAGATCGATGGATCATCAAATCGAATTTGAAAAGAAACATACTCTGAAAGACTGATGTAGCTATAGATTGTTTGGACTTCAGATTCTTTCTTGTCTTTGGCTTTTATAGTTTTGAGTACATAAAAAGTTTTAAAATTAAACGAATCCATTTTGATCACTTCGGCGAATGGTCTTTTTGATTCCTTCACAGATCTCGTAAATATCTCAGCAATAGTGATTTTGTCGCCCAGTAATGAAATGTGACTGTTGTAACAGTGGTTCACGTTTGTTATTAGAGTATCTCCATTCAGTTTCATATTTTCATTATCTAAGAATTAAGCTGATTTAGTTTTTGAGTTTTTTTTTCAATGTGATTGTTCGTTGACAAGTGAATGTTTGAATAAGAAGATCATGGATTTTACAGAAGTGATGAACGTTATTGTCCATTCTATTAAGAAAGTCGTCGTTGCAACTCCTTTCGAGTCATTATCAAAATGAAAAGAAAAATAACAATAAAAAAAGAACTACAGAACAGCAAGAAACTAGCAAGTTATTAATCTGTTGAAAGTGCAGTTTCTTTCTAGACTAGCCTATTATTTATCAAAACTTTCTGATAAATAGCATCACCAGACTAGCATAGTCTATTTGCTATTGGGAAAGTTCGTTGTTGCTGATGATTTCGATGCTTTGTGTTCTTCTAGATTGATAAGAATGTGGAGAAGTATGTCGGTTGACGAAGAAAGAACTCACCCTTACATCCACATTCAAGTAAAAATCACGGTTCCGTTAGATCTTTTTTTTTGTCTTGTTGAAAGATAAAATTTTTCAGGAGAAGATGTTTTCAAGTCTTCTTTAACTGATAGAATCCATAGTGAACCAATTCAGAAATATCTCACGTCAGCCCAGTCTTCTTCCTCAGAAGAAAAGATGCTCAAGTTAAAAATGTTGAATTCGATGACACAGTAACTTCAGTTTAGTTTATTCAGTAAAACTAATAGAAGATTGAACTTCCATAATATGCGTATCATTGATCAAGCCTACATATAAAATGTGTTTTACAAGTTTCGACCCGCTTTTTATTTTATTTTGTGTCTTGGCCGTATTTGAAGAGTAGCACATAAGCTATCGTCCTAGAGACATTGGGCTCAATTTGCATCATCGTAAAGAAAATACTGCATTGGTAAAAATGTCGAAAAGAATTTTTATCAAAGTTAAGTGTTTAAGATGCCTGAACGTTATGGAATTTCATTTTTTCGACTTTGATGCACCGTATCTCCATGAGAAGAAAAGCAAATACCCTCAAATTCTCAAAATAGATGGGTCTCAGTTAGATCTATCGTCGATGAAATTTTCATTCGTTTTGGTACAGCCAAAGGAGAGTTATTCTCGAAATATCAATTATTACGGAATCTCAAAAGACTAAAATTACATAATGTTTAGTACTTCAAGAGTATCTCTGCTTTGACTATACCAAAATGAATAAAATTTTCATCAATGTTAATAATAAATATTTCAAGCTATTTACTTTTCCTTCTTATGTAGATACGACTCACTAAGGATGAAAAATGAAATTTCTTAATGTTCGGCCATGTCAAAAGAGTAACTTTGATCAAATTTTTCGATAGTTTTACCAATGTAATATGTTTTTAAGTTAATGCATATTGAACCTAATTTCTCTACGATTATAGCTTATATGCTACTCCTCAAATACATATATTCAATATCCATCCATCTTCAAATACGGCCAAGATAAAAAAAATAAAAATGGGATCAAAACTTATGAAACAATCTTT